GCGACGGACGCGGCGCGGTTTATTTTCTTGCCCGTATCGACGGGCGGTGCGTTACGCCAGAAGGAAAATAGGGGCGTCGGCGTCGCGACGACCGGAAGTCGGCCTTCGAATAAACGTCCGAATGCGCGACGCGTCGCTCTCGTTTATTCTTAATTATTTATGACGCGCCGCGCGGAGAACGGTAGTTTGCGATCGCGAGCGATAATAGCCGGTGGAGCGAGACGCACTTTGTTTCCGTTATCCAATAATGTTCGATAGCCGATAACTTCGCTGCAGTGTCATTGCACATTTGTCTCCCCCTCGCGCGGATAGCGTTGTTTGCGCGCCACCCGGCCGCACATATCTCAAACGATTAAATTTTTCGCTCACCTCGTAGTGTGCGTGCGCCACTTCCAAAAAGGACGCAATTATCCCTCGCTCCACAACCGCGGGATTAATTTCCTTCGTCCGATTTTTAAGTAAAAACTGCCGCGGAATAAATACAAAAGTGTTATAATATTTGGTTTTTCTACGATTTCACGAAATAAATTAAATAATAAAAATGCAACAAATGTGCATTTGATTTCGTATCGTTCGAAAAACAATGCATCTCCCTCCCCTCTCTCTCTCTCTCTCTCTCTCGTGGCACCCTAGAAATTATATTGCGATTGATCTCTTTCGCAAGGTCGTATCTCGATTTTACGCAGTTTCTGGTTTTTTTGTGCTTAAACGCTCTTTCCGGTCCGGAAAGAGCGTTTAAGCACAAGACTCAGAAGTAGCGCAAAATCGAGATACAACCTTGCGAAAGAGATCAGTCGATTTGCTCTTGTTGCAGCGTTCAGAATTATTCACGTTCGTATAAATTCTTGTTGCTCGTAAGCGAGCGGTAAACCGCCGAGAGCATTGTGGCGTACAGATTTGCGGCATTACTGGGCATTACTGCATGGGGAGAATTTTCTCTTAAAATTTATCCCGAAAGTCATGTAATCGTGGGACGACATGACATTTCGGAGAATTTTATGAGAGTTTTGTGAAAATTTACCATACGTTTTACTAGTAAAACGTATAGGTATAATTGTATTAGGTATAATTACTAGTAAAATGTATGGCAAAATTTCAAACGACTCACAAAGTTCTTCAAAATGCCAGTGTTGGCCCACGATTACGTGATTTTCAGGATAAGAGAACATTCTCTCCGTGTAGACATTTTTTTGGGTATTAGGCCCTGCTGGGGCATTATAGAAATAAAATGCGATAAAATAAGACAAAACAAGATAATTAAGGTAAAATAAGATAGTACAAAGTAATGCCTACCGGGCATTAGTAGGCATTGGTATACATGATTTTGGTCAGCGGTTTACCCCTCGCACGAAAGTATGCCAAGAATATACAATTCGTAATCCTTCGAAATGCATTTCGGAAGTGTGGTATCAACGCTAACGAGCGCGGTCTTTGTCTCTCATTGTCTCTTGTTACAACTCTCTCCCTCGCGCCCGCCCGCAAATCCCTCTACTTTTGGGGAGAAAATGCCGCTCGCAAAATTATTAAGGCTCAATCGGGGCATTGTATTATATTTCACGCGATAAGCCGAGGCCCCCCGGTAATCGAGGAACAGAAATAAAAGTGGGAAATCCAGCCGATTCCAACGGGAGCGGTGGGCGGGCGGCGTGCGATCGCGCGATTGAGCGTGGTAAATTCTGCACGAGGTTACAACAACGAGGGTATTCCGTGACGATCGCCGCGACTGCTGCCGTGATCCCGTCGAAATTGCGTCCGCGCGCGGGAACGGGCGGTGTATGTGTTTAGCAGAAATCACGGTAAATCACGCGGGGCGTGCACTTACCCAATCGTGGTTCGGATCGAATCGGATCGGATCGGTTACCCGGTGCAAGGCTACGCGATTCCTCGAATTCCCGGGATGTGCACGCGCTGGTACGCGCGCACGCTCGGATTTCAAGTTCAAGACAGACATCCGTTCGTTAAGAGAGATATCTGCGCGGAAATTTGTGATATGCGCGTGAATACATATCGCGCGGATGTGTCAGGTTTTAATTTACGGCATATTTGTAAGGCGAGAACAAAAGTACACTCTCTAAAAGTCAATCAGTGAATTATCACGGAAAACGGTGAATAGTCACTGACTTGCAGTTACAAGTATACAGTGACTATTCACCGTTTTCCGTGATAATTCACTGATTGACTTTTAGAGAGCAGTTATGCTAAGAAAACCGAAAGGTGACACAATTTTCGATGCTCTATAGAAGACAATCAGTCAATTATCACTGAAAACAGTGAATAGTCACTGATTTACAGTTATAAGTATACCACTGCAATTTTCAGTAGTAATTTTATATCTGCAAATCAGTGACTATTCACTGTTTTCCGTGATAATTTACTGATTGACTTTTAGAGAGTAGTTATGCTAAGAAAACGGAAAGATGACAATTTTTGCCGCTCTATAAAAGTCAATCAGTGGATTATGACTGAAAGCAGTGAATAGTCACTGATTTACAGTTATAAAATTACTACTGAAAATTGCAGTGGTATACTTGTAACTGTAAATCAGTGACTATTCATTGTTTTCAGTGATAATCCACTGATTGACTTTTATAGAGCGGCGTAAATTGTGTCACCTTTTCTTAGCATAACTACTCTATAAAAGTCAATTAGTGAATTATCATACAACACAGTGAATAGTCACTGATTTACAGTTATAAGTATACCACTGCAATTTTGAGTAGTAATTTTATACCTGCAAATTAGTGACTATTCACTGTTTTCAGTGATAATCGACTGATTGTCTTCTATAGAGCGACGAAAACAG